CCCCACCCCCCCTTTTTCTCTCTCTCTCTCTCTCTCTCTCTCTCTCTCTCTGCTTCTCTGCCTATCTCTTTGTCTCTCCTTCTCTATCCCCCCTCTCTCTGCCTCTCTCTTTTCCTTTGCTGCTCTTGTCCCCAGAGGCAGGTCTTCCCTTTCCCCTCCCTGATTTTCCCATTCACTTTCCCCCAAATAAAAAAGCCCTCCACACAAGCTCGTTCTCATAGGTCTTTCTCTTGTGTGCCACTTTTAAAAATGACAGCAGAGGATGCTTACCCAGTAGTTGAGGATAGGTGAATGATTAGAGCAGGCAGATGGACGAAACTGCTGAAGAACTAGACACTGGAATTTGGAGTTAAATATGGTGGTGGCAGAAGTCAGAAAAAACCAAATGATTCACACATACCTGTCTTATTTAGGATTTCTATTGCTGTGAAGAGAGACAATGACCATGGCAATTCTTATAAAGAAAAACATTTAGTTGGGTGGCTTATAGGTCAGAGGTTCAGTCCATTATCATCACGGTGAGCCATGGCAGCACGCAGGCAGACATGGTGCTGGAGAAGGAGCTGAGAGTTTTACATCTTGATATGCAGAAAGCAGGAAGTGAACCTACTCAACGGGCATGGCTTGAGCATATATGAGACCTCAAAGTCGGCCTCCATAGTGACACCCTTCCTCCAACAAGACCACACCTACTCCAACAAGGCCACACCTCCTACTAGTGCCATTCTTTTTGGGGGCCATTTTCTTTCAAACCACCACAATACCTTAGGGGAATCAAACTAGCAGCTTGGTTCAGAGAGGCTGAGTCCCTTGGAAAGGAGCTCATTTATGTCACTCCTGTGGTTTTCGGCACCAGATGAGTGGAAAAAATGAGGACATGAGTGCTCCAAGGTATGGCGGCGGCGGAGGGTTTATTGTAGATATGAGGGAGAGGGCAGCAGAGGGATCAGGAAGAGACCTGACTGAACATGGCCAGCAGACTGAACTGCGTCATGAGAGGAGAGAGAAGGGGGAGAGCAAAAGAGAAGAGAGGGGGCAAAGAGAACACCTGGGAACCAAGAGCACCAAGAGACGGAGAGACTCATGTCCAAATGGTTGAGTTGTATAGGGATCCAAAGCTGTGGGAAGGGAAGTGGAGGTCCAGTCCCTGGGAGGAAGAGGTGAAGGGCAGGGATGGGTGATGAGTGCTGGGAGGAGCCACATGTGCTGAGGGAGCCTTGTGCTAGGTTTCTTGGAGACCAACACCTTGTCCTTGCTCCCCCTCCTACCATCTGAGCATGTATTTGCAATGGGAATTCGTGGGACTTGGACCTGAAGCCCATCAGGTAGCAAAGGGCAAGAACTGTTCCATACTTCCTTGCCTTAATTTAGCTTCCAATTCTTTTCATTAATTTCATTAACCAAGGTAAATACTGAATAGATTAGGAAAGTGAAAAACACCCAACTTCTGAGTTTGGAAAATTGCATATTCTGTAAAGGTCTGTATGTTGTGTAACAGGCTAGTTCTTGTTTATTTCCACAGTGTTTGTAGATCAGTGTCTACAGATGATCATAGAGCAGTGCACAAAGTTTCTCACAAAGTAAATATTTAACAGAGTCATTGCAGAAAGCAACTTAGCAGAATGTTTCTCTTGGTGAATTTAAAGGAAACAGCTCCCTACCTAACACCTAACTCATTAAGGGAAGAGGGACATATTAAGAAGGGGTTAGGATCTACTCTGTAGTGGAACGGAACTTGTTAAAAACCTTTGGTCTCACCTAGGATCAATTGGTTTTGCTTTCCCTTGAACACAGTCATTTGTCTTCAATGGCCTTTCAAGATCTTCTGGATCAAGTTGGCAGCCTGGGGAGATTCCAGATCCTTCAGATGACTTTTGTTTTTATCTGCAATGTCATAGTGGGTCCTCATTCTTTACTGGAGAACTTCACTGCAGCCATACCCAGTCATCGATGCTGGGTCTCCATCCTTGACAATGACACTTTCTCTGATAACAAAAGTGGGATCCTGAGCCAAGATGACCTCCTGAGGATCTCCATCCCTCTGGACTCCAACATGAGACCAGACAAGTGTCATCGTTTTGTCCAACCACAGTGGCATCTCCTTCATCAAAATGGCACCTTCTCCAATGTGACAGAGCCAGAGATAGAACCTTGTGTGGACGGTTGGGTATATGACCAAAGCACCTTCCTCAACACCATTGTGACTGAGGTAAGTGGCTTTATTTCCTGTCATAAATTCATGATGGGTGTTTAGCAATTGTATGAATAGTGCACATGTTTTGAGCTTAGATTTCATCTTTTAGACAATATTGATCACAGTTCTTACGTGTCAAATCAGTTTAAGCAAATAATTCTTTGGCTCTTTTATAAACATTACAAGTCATTGTTTATTTTTCAGCTTTTATTTCAAATAAGAAATATCTAGGAGATTTAACAAAGCCATAGTGGGCTATCTGGGAGTATGGCTCACTGGTAGAATGCTTGCATGGCATGTGTGAGCCCAGGATTCAATTCCTAGCACGCTAAAGAGTCTCAGTACTTTACCTTCTGTGATAGGATAGAATGGGGTTGTGCACAAGGCCTTGGACTCCAACTTCATTACTGTCAATCTATCTATATCTAATGTATATCTCTATCATATAATACCTATCTATCATCTATCTATGTACATATATATGCATGTTTGTATCTATATACCTATCTATGTAATCTAATAAAATCAGTGCCCAATCTCAGCTCTCAGAGTGATATGAGAGGCTGCCCATGCTTAGGTATGGAATCCAGTGCCTTTTTTAAGGCTCTCAAATTATTGCAGTATATGGTCAAGTTTGAGGATTTCTTAGCATGGGCTGCAAGTCAGTAGTACACCCTAAAGAACTTGGTCCAAGTTACTAGGGGAAGATTCCTGGAGCCAGGTGTGTTTAAGCTGAGACCAGGGTTGTAGAAGTCAGGTGGTGTTGAAATGAGAGGGGAATTTAGAGGGCTGCTAGAATGAGACTTGAGGGCCACATTAACGCATTTTTGTATAGTCTGACTGACAGGTTATAAGTCTTACTCTGCTGGTTTTCATATCTTTCAGTGGGACCTGGTGTGTGAATATCAGTCACTGGATTCAATAGCCAAGTTCCTATACTTGACTGGTATGTTTGTAGGAAATACCCTATATAGCCACTTAACAGACAGGTGAGTGTCTCTGGTTTATGGCTCTTTCTATGTATGAGTATTTTAGTCACTTGTGAGTCACTCATTCATTATGAAGTAGCCATTGCAAATTATATTCTTCTAGCTGTACCTTTGGTCTTAGAGAACCACAAACACAAATGGAAATTTCAGTCAATGTGATGAGTGCTGTTTGAATAGAAGTCTATGTGTTGCATGGACAGAGGAATAACCTCTCCATGAGATACGGGGGTATTTCAGGATGGGGAGTAGAGAGAAAGTGTCACAGCATGGTTAAGAAATATGAGAAACAGTCAACTATGTGAATGAAACAAAGATGCCCAATGCAATGTTTTAATCCTATTTGAATGTTCAAATATAGAAAACAGCATTGATACTCTTGCCAGGGGAACTGTGCTTTCTTCCTCCTGGACACTGCACTGAACAGCTGTGGTGCACAGAGAAGGGACATTATGTCTCCATTTCTCAAGCACAATGGTGGAATGCCCTTTGATACATGTGTTGCCATTGGTGAGTTGGGAAGCTATGTCTGTCACTTTTATTTTTGCTTCTGCCAAAGACACTTTCAGGCATATAAAACAATTCATCTAATGACAACTGTCATCACTGTTTGTGGCATAACTTAGATCTGGTGCCTGAAAAAACACTTCTTTTTAAATAGATGACTATTTCTGTCAAGCAAGTTCTGCCGTTTCCTGTAGCAAAAGTGACACACGCTGGGTCCTCAGACAGTACACACTTCACACAGAGCCATTGTGCCTCTTCCATTTTAACTTCAAACATTTAGTATCACTGAATATGTATGCACATGATGTGTGTATGTAAGCATGTGTACCTCAACTTGCAATGTGAAGATTAGAGGCCAACTTTATGGAGTTAGTTCTTCCCTATCATCTTTGTATGGCGGCTGGAGAGCATACTGAGGTTGCCACCCCCCACCCCATCCACCCACCACTCCCCAGGCAGGGTAGGGCCCTCAACGGGGGCTCTGCAAAGTCCACCAAATCCTCCTGATTTGCACCTCTTTTTATAAGGTCCCTAACGTCTTTCATGAGGGTTTCATTCTCATATTTTTAAGAAAGAGTATCTTTTAGTTGTTCTTTGATGACAGTTGTCAGCAATGTATCTTTTACCCATCCCAACTGCCCCTCTCTACTCCTTTTCAGCTGCCCCAACTAATGCCTCTCCTTCTTCATATAGTCCCCTTAAAATAAGTCATCATAGTGTTAGGTACTATTAAGACATTTTTGTGTGTGTGGGGGGTGTTTTGCCTGTATGTATGTTTGTTCTCTATGTGTGTGCCTTGTACCAGTGGAGGCCAGAAGATGGGGTCAGATACCCTTAAACTGGAGTTATAGATGGTTATAAACTGCCATGTGGGTGCTGGGAATAGGACCTGGGTCCTCTGGAAGAGCAGCCAGTGCTCTTACCCAGTGAGCCATCTCCTTAGCCCCACATAATATTGTAAACAAAGTGTGTTTGTGTGGTTTTTCTTCCTCCACATCCCCTCCTGCACTCTCTACCTCTCCTCTTCGTTGCTGCCCCTTTATTCGTTTCCTTTTCATGTCCCCTTGTCTTTTTTCCCACCCTTATCCTTCCCTATCACCAAGTATTTGGCCCCTTCTCTGGGTTTTTCAGGCTTTGCTCACATTTATAGCTGTTTACATGTGTGCATTATAGGTTATGATCCTCATATCTGGGAGAACATGTAGTTTGTTCTTTCTGGGACTGGGTGACCTCACTTAATATTATTCCTTTTGGATCCACCCATTTCCTGCAAATCTCATGATTTCTTTACAGAGGAAGAATATTCCGTTGTGAGCATGTACCACATATCCATAATTGGTTCATCTGTTGATGGACAACTCGGTTGGTTCTATGTCCTTGATATCACACATATAGCAACAATAAAAATGACGAGCAGGTGTCTCTGTGGCCGGGTATGGAGCCTGTTGGGTCAATGGCCAGGAGTTATGTGGATAGGTCGTATGGTAATTTTAATTCTTTTAGGAACCTCCCCACTAATTTTCACATTGGTTGCACTAATTTGCACCCCAACCAACAATGAACAAATGTTTCTCTTTTCCCACATCATCTTCTACACTTGTTTCCAGATTTCCTGATGATTGCCATTCTGCTCAGGGCAACCCTGCTCACAGTTAACAAAATCTGAAAGGTCCCTCTTGGTACCATGAGAACAGATAGTCATTTTTCAAGTATGAGTTCTGGAGGCACATCAGACTATAGCAAATTTGCAATCTGTTCTTCATGGAAGAGTGCTGTGTAAATGCCAAGCAAGGAATTTTGGTTGAAAGATATGTGTATATATCTCGAATAGAGATACATTCTGTTTTTTTTTGTTAATTACTGGGAGTAATATTAAAATCTTTCACTTCACTAAACAATTTTTTTAACTTTGTGTTTTTGTTGTATGTATTTGAAAGTACTGTTGACAAACGTAACTGAGATTCAGCATTATAATTTGTTCTTCATCTCTTCAATGAAGACTTATTAAAATATTTATTCATTTTATTATTTGTGGATTGTCTTATTTTATTTATTTTGGGGTTAATATAGTGTTCCCAACACCAGGAATACTGAGGATGATGAGTAAGGAGACTGGCATCTGAGTATGAGGTAACCCAACAAGAGGCAGGAGAGGGATCAGGGAAAACAACAAAGCTGGTTTCAGGAGGTTCTAGCTGGCTCTCACCGAGCTCCTCTCTGAGGAACATTAAGAGGCACCTTTGCCTGTACTTAGTGTATTGTCAACTTTGTGAGTATTTACACCTTTATACATATTTGTATATCTAACTGTAATAGACTGAACTGTGGGTAAAGACAGCATCCAAGAACGCATCTTCCTTGCCAGGAAGGAAGACACCCAAAGACCACCCCAGGGGAAGGCAAGTAGGAACATGGTATAGCAAGATTTCTAAGTTCAGATATTGGAGGCAGGCTTTTTTTTTTTGAGGAGGTATCTCCGTATTAAGATGTAGAGCCCTTTGTATATGAGCCCGTAAGTGCCCCCCTAGGATCTTTAAAGGTATTTGCGAATAAAATGTAGCAAATATCTTGGCTAGAGAGATGGCTCAGTGGGTAAAGGTCCTATCAGGCAAGCCTGTTGAACTGTTTTTAGTTTCTGGAATCTGAACAAGGGTAGAAGCTCTGAGCATCTACTACCCCATCTCTTCAGCCCCAGCACTGCTTATTCTCTTTTTTCAAATATCTTTTATTTCAACTTTTATTGACCGTTGCTTTTTTTTTTTTTGAACTATGGTTAAACAAACTTTGGCTCTTGTTCTATCTAGATACAGTGTGAGTTACTTTCCCTTAGAAGAAGGGGATGTGGGAGGACAGATCTCCCCACAGTGTTTCACGACATAGCCCACCTTAGCAAACTCTGTGTGTTGCAGAATAGTCTTCAGTTAATAGTCCCTATGCCTCAATCTTAGTATCTGGAATTGCCAGTATGTACTACCGCACCTGGAAAAACATCTGTTCTAATATCTGTTCTGTCTAATGTTAACATAGCCTCTTCATCCATCATATTCTTTTAGGAATATAGTTTTTACTAGCTTTTGAGAATTTCATATATGTATATGATATATTTTATCATATTCATTTCACTCCTTCCAACTCCTTCCAAATGTAGTCCTCATTCTCACACTGTCTCCCAACTTTGTGTTCTTCCAGTCCTTTTTAAAAATAAGCCATTGATTTCAATTTGTGCTGCCCTGGGTGTCAGGCCATTCACTGTAGAATGGTCCATCTCCTGGAGTCTATACCCTTAAAGAAAACTGAGTGTCCTTTCTCCAGAAGCCATCAGCTGTTAATTGCTTCTCAGCTACAGAAAAGGACTCATGAACTCCTCCCCACTTCATGCTGAAGTGTTGACTGACTTGATCTGTGCAGATTTTGGTAGTCAACCCCAGCTGTTGCAAGCTGATGGGTGCAGTGTCCTGTTAAGTCTGGACGACTCTGCTTTGATCCATCTTTGGAACCTTTGGCTTTTAACAATCTCTCCATTCTGTCTTCCTTGATGGTCTTTGAGCCTTTGGTGCAACCATTTTATTCTTACAGTTCACATGGTTCCAGAAGACATGCCATAAGAACAGCAGATGTAATTAATATCCAAGGTGTCAGCATATCAGGAGGAAACTCTGATGGGAAACCTCAGTTAGACAAGGCCACAAGGCTATAGATTCCAGAATATCTTTTGCTTCTGTCTGTAATTTCACATGTGCTGCTGCAAAATTCCCTGTATCATAGTGTGTTTACCTCATAAAATCCATTCTATTGGTCATTTTTATCTGTGGATTGTCTAAAAGGTGACTCCTCCTTAAGATGTATTGTCTAATTGATATTAAATGTTAGTTTCTACAGAGTTTTGAGGAATAAAAATGAATACAAAGAATTACTACATGGTAAGGGCTTATGAATTTCCCCTAGGAGCTGTTTTAGATCACAGCTCAATTTGACATTAGGAAAACAGTTGTATTTACCCAACCGCCAAGATAGCTATGCACTATTAGCTGATACAAAGCTTTAAAATAGCTTTAGATTAGATCAGATGCCTTGCTAATGGTTTTTAAAGATAAACAGTTTCCATTAGGAACCAATCTACCTCAAGATCCTGCAATACTGCTTTTGAGCATATACCCAAATGATGCACATTCACACCACAAGGACATTTGCTCAATTATGCTCATAACAGCATTATTCGTAATATCCAGAACCTGGAAACAACCCAGATGCCCCTCAACTGAAGAATAGATAAGAAAAACGTGGTACATATATACCATGGAGTACTACTCAGTGGTAAGAAACAGTGACATCTTTGAAATTTGCAGGCAAATGGATGGAACTAGAAAAAACAAAACAAAACAACAACAACAACAAAACATCCTGAGAGAGGTAACCCAGATCCAGAAAGACAAATATAGTATGTACTCACTCATAAGTGGATACCAGAGATAAAGCAAAAGATACCCAGCCTATAA